TCATTTTAAAAGAAAATTATAGGTGTGCAATACTTTTAACCTTGAAGTGTACCTTTAATTTAAAAACTCATTTTCTGTAAATTTAACATTCGAGACATACACTATTCATATTTATCAATATTTGTAAAGCTTCGAGGGTAATTAACCGTAAATCAGAACCTACAAAATCATCTTCTTCGATTAACAAAGGAAGGGCTACTGTTGAACAATTGGTACGTATCTATTCAAAATACCGTGGAACTTGCTTGAAACATCATCGCCTACAACGGTAACTCTGACCTTTAAAGTAAGGTCAGTTTTTAATAGTCCCGTAAATTCACCCTCCAAACCGACGCTGCAAATCCTTGGTCAGGTCAGATACATGTATGCTGAATGTTTGTATTAAAATTTACGTATGTTCCTATTGGTCACTATCGTGAATAATGGCGCCCTGGGTCTAGGGTGGCGCTAATAAGTAAGTTCTTCTACGTATATTATTTCATTCGTATTTGATACGTATGACGGTTCTGTCACATCATGTCCTATTAGCTTTTATCTCGCTCGATCGATGACGGTATCTCGCTGATGGTTTACCACTGACGTGGTCCAAAAGAGAATCCTAGGAAGGCACTTCAAGGATCGCGCAGCGCACTGCGATGATGACAATATAAAGCGATTGTTCTACAGCTGACAGCTAACGCGTGCTACGGTTCACGCGCTACGTGGTCGCTACACAGCATCACCTTGGCTGTCATGACGGTACGAAAATCTAAACGAACATGAGAATAACAATCAAAATGTGAAAGTGCGGAAAAATAAAGAGGATAAATGTTGTCGATTTTCGTAAATAAAAGCGGTAAAAGCTGTTTACAGGTTTATTTACCTGATGCTTTCCATTACAGTTGACAGTAAGTTAACAGTTGACGTAGAAAAGAAAAGAAGCTTAAAAAAAATACAGACTGGCATATTAGGGGTATTGAAAATACCAGACACAGCTGGTGGAATTCTAAATTGTTCAAAAAACCTTTTCAATTCCTATCATCAGCACTATGATTTTTATCATATCACCGTCCGTGATTAGTGTGTAAATCAGGCTTAAACAACCACCCGCAAAATTAAAATAAAATGAAATTATATCATGGATTTATGATGCCGAAGCAAAATAATTTCAAACAATTTCAATTTCTTACCAAATGTTATTTTCGGGTAAACTTTTTCTTTTACTTGGAAATAACCGGATGGTAAGGGTAAGGGTACGCGTTTTTTAGATAATAAAAAACTTTCGGGCGTCCCCAACTATGCTACTGTCCAATATGTCAAAGTAACAAAAACTGACTATAAGAAAGAACGTTTCTTTAACGAAAAAAAAAGAGTTTCGTCGTGATTACGTATCGTAAATATCTCGACGCCAATCTCGGTCCAAACTTTTAAGGTTTTCTTAGGATCAAATTCAATATTTAAAAGTTATTTTTTAACAGGTCAATTTGGGTTTATACGCAGAATAATGACTCAGACGGTATTTATTCGTTAGTAGCAACATTGAACCGTCAACCCCGATCGACATTTATATATAGGGCCTTTATCGCGTCTTTATCAGCTTCAACCGGCCTTCCCGAACGTGGTGCATCTTCGACATCAAAATTGCCGGATCGAAATTTAGCGAACCAGTTCTGGCACTGGCTTACTGTCAACACACCTTCTCCATACACATCAGTCAATTTCTTTCTGGCTTGAACAGCATTTTTACCCTTTCTGTAGTAAAACAGTAAGATATGTCGAAAATGCTGTTTATCGCTCTCCATATTTAAAAGGGCACCAACCAAAAACTACTGCGTAGAATTAATTGGAATTTTTCACACACAAGCCTTGCTATATGAGCTCTCAAAGCATATAAAAATTATACGGCTTAAATGTGAAGTTGGGTGCAAAAGAATACAATTAAATCCTCTGTCGGGAAAAAACGAAATGACTTTCCGAACAACCCGATAGATAGATACATTAAACAAAATAAAAAGTGTAAACAGATTAGAAGTCATCTTTTGATAACTGCTCCCAACACATATATGATAATAAATATATGTTGGAAGTAGTAACGCATTCGATAAATTCTTGACGATTAATAAGAATGTAATTTCGTAATTTCTGAACCTGTATGTAGGTATATTTTCTACACGGAGAAAACTTAATCTTTAGATATGACAACGTAAAAATTACAATTTTCGATTGTAAATGACTGAATTTGACTAATTTTGTCGTAGAGATATTGGAATTTGTAATAATTTCAATTTTAACATGTTTCGCAAAAAATTATTTGAAGTTTCTTAATTATTACAAATAAATTTGTAATATTAACTAAAATACCGAGTAAATTTGCTTCTGTTGGGATTTTATTTTTACAAGTTCGGGTCCAAATTGTAATTTTTATTATTTTCGCTTACGAACCAGCGGGCTAGTGAGATAAATTGCAAATATCGCTTTAATACTTAGGTGAATTTTCATTTTTCATTTTCTCCGTGTACATATATTAAATATGTTGCATCATAACACGGTCTTTATAACGAGAGAAAACTGCAAGTTAGACTAATACACCAGAACTAGAAGTAGTTGTATCATAGCAGCGGTTTCCTTTTTGTATCTCGTATTACTGCGGTACCGAAGCTTTCATAAAGCGCACGCCGATGCCACCACTCGCTGCCTGTTCTCCGTCGACATGCTAATGCTCCTTCAAATTGACGGAAGCTCGCGTCAATTTGTCAAGACTGGACCATCGACGTATCGACTTAATCATGACGTAATTTTTTACGCAGCTACGCGAGGAGTTTGAAAAAGTGAACAGCGCCACCCACCGCGTTTTTTATTGTAGCTTTTCGAAAGCCCCGATGGTCACGGAAATCACTCAAACGAAATAAAAAAAAATATCTGGATTCCACTCATAAACAAGTATGAGTTAAATAGGAATTCTATTAAGAAGGATTTCAATTTTATTTCTTACTGCTAATATAGATTCTTACTTCAATTAACGAAAATTGTTTCTTAAAATAAGCTTCTTTATACATAAAAATAAAAACAGAATAAGGAAAATGAGTACAGTGAGAAAATGCTTGAAATAAACTGATGCTGTTCTGATTCGGATCTAAAGGTTCTTTCATCTCCGATGTTGGATGCGGAAGGACCTCTGAAGAAGGTTGCGAAACGTTGGGGAGCAATTCCAACCGACGACGGTCTATAGACAGATAGCCCCAGTCAGTAGGGATAGCACTGTATGGTGATATTAGTTAAATCGAAAGTACCTTTGTTATACTTCGTTTAGTTTCTCTAGCGATGTGGCCTTTACTTTGACCGGCGCAAAGTAGAAAAGAACAGCACTAGGCCAGAAAAGAAAGGACACAATAACTCTCTGCCAAACTCTTAACCGATGAGGAGCGTATAATCCGTACAGTACTGGACGGAAAAATTGACCATTTTATCCACTAAAATTGCGTTGCTCAAATGTGATGTTATTGGTACCATTTACTACTGAAAATATCAACGAGATGTTTATTTATATTTGAAGACATATTAAAGACTTAAACTATTGCTTTCGACTCGTACTACTATTCATGATTGAGCAAATCTTTTAGCAGGTACTGTATGGAAAAGTATGTTTAATGAACAAGAGTCGAGAGCATAATGAGCTTTTTTCTCCCTACCTACGATTTTGCCAGCGCGCATCCAAGACAGTGGAAGGGGCACTTCGCTAGTGAAAGTAAGTGAAGTATATTATTTTTGTCTTTTAGGGGCGCCCTGTTTCTTTGGTTTGATTAAATAAAACAATTATAATAATAAGAACAACTTCGATCCTAGCTTTCTTGTTTTATCGTATTCGACCATATTTCTGTTTTCGTTTAAGAACTATTGCCCAAATATCGCAGTAATAGTAGTAAATTTAAGTACAGTAGTAAAAATGCACCTGCTGCTGTCTTGAATAGTTCTAATTAGCCGGCTGTCAGGAATGCATTTAAATTTTCGTTTATGTTAGGGAAGAAAAACCACTGTATAACATTAACTTAAGAGACTACATTTCAAATGGCTTAAATTGGTCTCGCTTTAATCAGTTCTATCGCATTCGCCGAACCGGGCCAGAATCTACATAATTTATATTTTTAACGCAATCCCACACATCACGGTACCGATGGGTCTGATAAGGCGCCCATAATAAACGGGTAAATGTGACATAATGTGATGAAACTGCCGTATGTCTCGTGAGCTGCTGCACAGCTTGTTCCTTGACAGAATGTGTAAGGAAAATGAAGATGTAGAGAATGGCTTAAAGTCAACAGTTTTGTGTGGTTTATTGTAGTGTGTGAAGAGGCAGATAAAAAAATAATGAGAGAAAGATTCAAAATCGGGTTTCTAAGTCTTAAATCACTTAAAATAATATACAGGTAAGGCAAAATGCTAGCCGACCATAGAAATCCACAAGCAAAAATACGAAATTTGGCGAATCAATCACATCTATTTCAAAATATCGCCTGCTTCTCCGAAAATTGTTCTAAACATTGTTCGAATTTTCCTATACCACGTATTATTTTTCAAGAAATGGTGCTCCTCATTGACGATTTCATGTAATAATAGAATATCTTTATGTTTGATATTCAATTCGCCATTGGTGTGGTTTATTGTTCGTGATAGTTTATGTGCTCGAGAAGATTTTTATTTGCTGTAGAATTGGGAAAAATCTTTACCAAAAACAAACATGATTGCAGTTGATTGTGCCTATGTAAAATATTTTGAAAAACTGATAGAGTGAAAGTACTTGCAAAAATGTTTTCCAAGTATTGAAATGTCAAGATGTCTTTACAAAAATATAATGAAATTGAACATATATTTTTGGTAGACGTGGATGTACATTTCGAGCATGTTTGCTCTCATCAGCACGCTGTGGCATTTCCCATAGAACGCTTACCAATCGAAGCAACTGGTGGTTAGATAGTATGATGATGAAGTGATTACGTCTAAACACAATTTTCCTTTTTTTGCAGAATATAACTGGAACTGGAAGTGCAGAAAGTCAAGGTGCCAGACACAAATTACGTCCGCGAAAGAACACCGCCTCTGGCAGCCTCAGTGATAGCTCTTCCAGCGTTAAACGCCAGGTATTTCATTTGCTTCATTTGATCCTTTATTAAACAGATTTTGTTAGCTGAAATAGTTTACAGTCATTTCAAAAAATAATCTAATTAAGTGTCGTGTACAGTCTTGCAAAATTTTTGTGATCCTTTTATAAGCATCGTTTGTATTATTAATTATGTAATTCCACCGACGTTTCGTTTTCTGATTTAAGGATTTTTCAAGGTTGTAATATATTTGTTATAAATACAAGATGTTAGTTTGTATCATCTATTTCCTAGAGGTACAATATTTACTAGATTACTTAGTTAATACAAGAAAACGGAAAATTTCAATGTCTCCTAATATTACTTATTAACTAAGAATTTTCTACTAAGTTTTGTACCCCTAAGAACTAGATAATATAAATCAACGTCTTGTATTTATAACAAATATTACAGCCTTGAAAAAGTAATGGAATGCGAAACGTTGGTGGGATCACAAAATTAATAAAGAACATTTTTCTTCTTTCTGACTACTTTTTGCAAATACCTTTTATAAATGGTCTAGACACTTAGTTATTGAAAATATTTAAGGGCGATTTTTTATGAAATTTTGCGCTTTAATCATATACACTCATTTCATTCCCTGTGCCACACAGTTGCATTGTTATGAAGGTACGAAGCAAGGGCGACTGGTGCTGCAAAGCTGCAGAACTACCGAAAGTAATAGATATTTTTGTGATCTAATTACTAAAATTTATTTATATAATAATTTGGTGTATCTCCCACCACAACCAACGCTGATGTTCTTGTCTAAAATCGCCTTTTGTCGGTCATCCCGTATTGAGTGGTATGTAGACCAAATGAATTATCTCGGTATCTAGATGAGCGCATTGCTTCTGTCTATACCCCTTTGACAGCATAAACCCGCGAATTTGGACGGATTAGCTTGCAGCATTCATTCAACTGCGCTTAGCTATTCGTTGCTTTCCATTAAATTAAAACATTATTTATATTGAAAACTAGCCACCCCGACAGACTTCGTTCAGTCAAAAGTTATTGGCCTGTCGGAAACAGGAAAAATAATTAAATAAAAGAGAAACAAAAATTAGAAAACTACCAAGAAAATGTTACGTACAAAGGAGGTAATGACGACATATATGTCAGTAATTTTATTTTCTTTGATAACACGCAAACCCTTCTTTTTTGCCCGAAGTTTATTTTGGGCAGGTAGTTATTAATATCCATACAACCTAATCAAATTTAAGGTACCTCTACCAAAAATGATCCTAACGCGCTTTTGTTTTGTTTTGATTGACATCTGGGGACAGATGTTTTAATTTACTCTGAAGTTTGTATGGGAATAGGAAGTGAGGTTTTTACGTTTTTTCTGGGCAATTTTTCCAATTTGTCTTTTCATACGAACCTTCCTCGAACTAATAGCTATATTAAAAAAAAAATATCGACATTTTATCGAGTTTTGCAATTAGCAACACATTTAGCGATTCAGTTTTATTTATATAGGTTAACAAACAGCAATGGAAAGATTTTTAAAAAAAAATTGTTTCTATAAAGGGTGGTAGGATCGAATTAACTTTCAAAAAATGTATGAGTAAACATTTGGAGAACACCCGCTTCATTTCCATACGAGTCGCCACTGATTTTATTCTTTAACGTTTTTATTGTGATGAATAAATTTTGGTTTGCCTTATTTTTTTTAAGTTTCTTTACGATAACTGCAATCGTACTTGTACGTAATCGTAATCGTAAAAACCGGAACCGTTGCATTACTAGAACAAAACTCAAGAGAAACGTGTTGAAGTTAAAGTTTTATTTTACTAGATACACCTTTCGCATGCGGCAGATTGGAATACATCATACTTTACAATGAGATGTTAAGTTATGACAATTTGCGAACAGTATACCTACATCCTTCACATTTGGTAGTCAAATCACTGCGAAAATGAAGAAGTTCGCATTATTCACTGACTTATAAAATGCTTCCAGAAACTTTTCAAGTTACGCGACAAGTACTCTTCTTGGAATATGTTTTAGGAACTTTTTTACTACACAAATATATAAAATGTGGAAAGGGAGAAGACAAACTTGAAAGTAATTTATATCTCGCTTACTTTTCTCTTTTGTTCTTAATACAGTTCTATAATAAATGTGGATCTAGTAATATTTTACAAATAACAAAGTTCTTAAAGTTATACATCCATACAAATTTGCAGTAATATTTATGTATTTAGAAAATATTTCGATTACGTCTTTAGATAGTCTCAATATGTACAAAATGTCTGTACAATTTATATCTCATAAAGTAATTATTAAGTTATTCTACTCATAATCTTTTTAGGGTTCTGTAATCAAATTGCGAAAAATGGAATCCTAGGTATGTTCTTCCTTGTCTATAAGTCACACCCTGGTAATTTCTATATTCGAAAGCCGATGCAAATGAAATTTTAGATGAGGATGTCTTATAAATAGATATGGTTTGCATGTTGTATTTAGCATTTTATTTTGAACTTTAAGGATACCTTTTTTTGACTGAAATGGGAATGAATTTTTCTTGCACCGTAATCCGCCTTGTTTGTTAGTAGTATTTTCAACTAAAATTGATTTGAACGATTTTTTAATAAAGTAGGTATCTTCTTGTATGGTGATGTGGGAATAATTTTTTTGTTTTGTTTTCTGCTTTTTATTAGTTTTTGAGTAATTAATCGAAATAGTAAAAAGCTATGAATCGATATGTGCGTAGGTATCCGATATTCGTGAACATTCTTTTCAACCGACTTCAAAAAAAGAGAAGGTTCTCAATTGGACTGTAAGAAGTTATTGTAATGTTCGATCATGAAAATCATAGTTTTCAACATATTTCAAAAGTTGAAAGTGGAAATAGCATTACAACATAATGTCGAGAAAAAATTTGTTTACGTACGTCATTTCTTTCCTGATCGATATCGCTCGAACAAAAAATCATATCAGTTTCGTTGAGGTGTCGACCGAAGCGTATTAACTGTAAATTGATCTGAAAAGAATTACATAACTTTTGGTCAAGTCTTTTTTTTGTTTAAACAAAGAGACTGATAATTGGTAATAATTAGGAATATTTTCAAAAAGATTGATCTGATCTAATAGGTTGTGCTATTAACTGAGAAGTTATTTGTGTGGACTTCAAGGGTCGCACCAAGGAATTCGACATCCAGAGTCCAGACACACTGCGATTTTAATCATCTTTCTATATTGGCTGGATTATATCTCAGGAGTACATGATCCCATTTAAATTTGAAGAAAATATTCCCCCTCTAGGATGGAAAATTAGAGGATGTTAAAAAAAGTAGTTGGAGAAATTAACGCAATCCTGTTAATTCGATCAACCTTTTAGTTTAATTAGCCGGTTTATTGAAAAGTGAGCTTTCAAGTATATTTTAAGCAGAATTTTGTTGATTTTAGATAGGTACCTAGCCCTTCTAGCTTTATGGAAACGAATAAGGAATACATTTCTCCTTCCTCGAATATTACGACATACCAAAATTTTTTTAATACCGATATTGAAATTATAGATTACAGCACATCTAATAATTATTGTAAGTTATTAATTACGAATATACCACCAACCATAAGGTCATAAGGTCTACCCCATTAATAAGTTGGCACAAAATTCTTTCTCAATATCCTTTTAATCTTATACCAGGAATTTTTACCTCTGTAATGTAAATCTATTCGTTTTTTTTTTATGTGAAATTAGGGTTTCTTTTTCGTGTCGACTAAGAAAAAATGACTGACACCTTTAATAGTTGGAAGTTGTACGTTCCATTTCCCTTAAAATTTGATTGACGCGAACAATGTTAGCGTTTTAAAACGTGGATAATTATTACAAGCGTAAAAAATTTCGGACTGTTCATTAAACGTCTTTAGTTTTTAATCAGGCGTCTGACCAAGAGACTAAGACAGCACATCAGAATATCAGAGAGATTGTACAATGCCCAGGTATTATGAGCATTTACTTTTTAAATTAATATCAGCAATATAACGGACAGTGAGAAAAACACGTAAGTTGGCATAAAATAGTGTATACTATTGTAGTTAGTTCTGGTCTAAATATTGCCATTAAAAAACTATTGCCGCGAGATTTATAAATAGATTGAGAGTCGTTTTAAGTTTCGATATTTTTAGACTTACCATTACATTCAGCAGGATGTATGTATAATGCCTAGAGATTCATGAAATATGTTCAACAACTGCAGACAGTGCAAAACCCTCTATTTTTTCAATTTTCATTCAGTTAAAATCTTCCTCACTTAATGCCGCAATGTTGAAATCGAGGAAATTCCAGCTTCACGCCGATCTACTTATTTTTAGTTTGCCAAGCCAATCACAAGCACGATTTGACTTAATTGACGACACCTGTTGAGTTAATTATTGCACGACACATGGCAGCACTTAGTATTCGTAACATTTTTTCTTTATTACGTCTATAAAACAATGTCTAATAAATTATGGGAACGTATTTTCATAATTTAAAATGTAGTTTTTATACTAATCATAAGCATAAACTATACAAGTATTTAACTAAATTATCAACAATTTAACTTAATTTTTAATAATAAGGATTATAATAAAAGTAAATCAATTTATAAGAAACTTTAGAAATATAAAGTGATCATATTGAATTTAGGCTTGATAAATACATTTCTTCGATGTAAGGGGGTAAATTATGGTAAAACTTTTTTATTGAACACAATCCCACAAATGTGCACTTATTTCACTGCAAACCCCCTCAATATTAATTTACTACTTTTCAGTGGAAGTTTTTTTGTCCAGAAATGCTAATAATACTAAATCTAATATCTAACTATAACAGTCATTTAAATGAGCTAATTTGTTAGCGGGTCTAGGTGTTTTTATAGGGTGTTATACCCTTCAATATTAAATTATTATTTTTCAGGAGAAGTTGATTGTCTCTCAAATAATTTTAAGCATCTAAAGTCTAATAGCAACTTATAGTAGCTTTAAGTCAGCGAAACTATTTGTCAGCAGGT